GTATAACGGTAACATATAAATATGGAAATGAGCCGAAACGATCTCGTGAATATTTTTAAATGAATATACCATTATGATAGTATGAAACGATAATCAACCCACAAAGTATCAACAAATATCACCAACAGATTGATCATATTCAACACTAATTTAATGGTGATATAGGGAACTACCTGAGTTTGCTTATATCTATGAGAATGTTTACAAGACGTACAAGTATATAACACCTTCATTTACAACTTTAGAACACAATGGATCAATACAATGAATTAAATTGTATCCTACAGCTACTTGGTGTTTACTAGACTCGTTAGTAATGGTAAATATCTAAATATTGAACCCTAGGTATAAGGGGATGTACACATTTTCAAAGATCTGATAATTTTAGGTCCACCCCATGTACATGTGCTTATTATCCGTATGTATGCTATTATACAAAACTTGGACATTCTTCAGAAGTCATACCTAGATATATCAGCGAACTATGGGGTTTGTACGTCCCTCCCCCGTCAACACCCTCACTTCGCCATTCTTCAGTAAGCCTATAATTTTCAACTGGATTTATTTTGACAATGTCACTGCATTACTTGTAGATCATATCTAACTAGAAGTTAGCATATCAGAAATTCAATTGTAACTAGTTCCTTTGTGACTTATGCGTATGTGACCCGTATAAGTGTGACCCACACCAGTATGACCCACACCAGTAGTGTGACTGATACATGTAAGACCCACACCAGTAGTGTGACCGATACATGTAGGACCCACACCAGTGTGACCCACACCAGTGGTGTGACCGATACATGTAAGACCCACACCAGTGTGACCCACACCAGTGGTGTGACCGATACATGTAAGACCCACACCAGTGTGACGGATACATGTTAGACCCACACCAGTGTGACCGATACATGTAAGACCCACACCAGTGTGACCCACACCATTAGTGTGACCGATACATGTAAGACCCACACCAGTGTGACCCACACCAGTGTGACCCACACCATTAGTGTGACCGATACATGTAAGACCCACACCAGTGTGACCCACACCAGTGGTGTGACCGATACATGTAGGACCCACACCAGTGTGACCTACACCAGTAGTGTGACCGATACATGTAAGACCCTCACCAGTGTGACCGATACATGTGACAAATATATGTGTTACCTGTACTTGTTTGACATACGTGAACCGAACTTGTGTTGTCCATACCTGAGTAGGTAACGTGTTGTCCGTATGTTGTTGACCTGTAAGATCCCGTATGGGCAATACACGTGTGACCCTCAGTGACCATCATGGCTGATCCCATGTGAGCTATACATGAAAGATACTATGTGACTCATACTGTATGATCCTGTGTTAGTCATACATGTGTGACTCATACTGTATGATCCCGAGTTAGTCATACATGTGTGACTCATACTGCATGATCATGTGTGTTATGTGTGTCATGTTGTGTTACATGTGTGACTTATACTGTATGATCCTGTGTTAGCCATACATGTGTGACTCAAACTGTATGATCCTGTGTTAGTCATACATGTGTGACTCATACTGTATGATCCTGTGTTAGTCATACATGTGTGACTCATACTGTATGATGTTGTGTTAGTCAAACATGTGTGATGATCCCGAGTTAGTCATACATGTGTGACTTATACTGCCATACATGTGTGACTCATACTGTATGATCCTGTGTTAGTCAAACATGTGTGACTTATACTGTATGATCCTGTGTTAGCCATACATGTGTGACTCATACTGTATGATCCTGTGTTAGCCATACATGTGTGACTCATACTGTATGATGTTGTGTTAGTCAAACATGTGTGACTTATACTGTATGATCCTGTGTTAGTCATACATGTGTGACTCAAACTGTATGATCCTGTGTTAGCCATACATGTGTGACTCAAACTGTATGATCCTGTGTTAGCCATACATGTGTGACTCAAACTGTATGATCCTGTGTTAGTCATACATGTGTGACTCATACTGTATGATCCCGAGTTAGTCATACATGTGTGACTCAAACTGTATGATCCTGTGTTAGTCATACATGTGTGACTCATACTGCATGATCATGTGTTAGTCATACATGTGTGACTCATACTGTATGATCCTGTGTTAGTCATACATGTGTGATGATCCCGAGTTAGTCATACATGTGTGACTTATACTGTATGATCCTGTGTTAGCCATACATGTGTGACTCAAACTGTATGATCCTGTGTTAGTCATACATGTGTGACTCATACTGTATGATCATGTGTTAGTCATACATGTGTGACTCATACTGTATGATGTTGTGTTAGTCAAACATGTGTGACTCAAACTGTATGATCCTGTGTTAGTCATACATGTGTGACTCAAACTGTATGGTCCCGAGTTAGTCATACATGTGTGACTCATACTGTATGGTCCCGAGTTAGTCATACATGTGTGACTCATACTGTATGATCCTGTGTTAGCCATACATGTGTGACTCAAACTGTATGATCCCGAGTTAGTCATACATGTGTGACTCATACTGTATGATCCTGTGTTAGCCATACATGTGTGACTCATACTGTATGATGTGTTAGTCAAACATGTGTGTCTCAAACTGTATGATCCTGTGTTAGTCATACATGTGTGACTCATACTGTATGATCCTGTGTTAGTCATACATGTGTGACTTATACTGTATGATCCTGTGTTAGCCATACATGTGTGACTCAAACTGTATGATCCCGAGTTAGTCATACATGTGTGACTCAAACTGTATGATCCTGTGTTAGTCATACATGTGTGACTCAAACTGTATGGTCCCGAGTTAGTCATACATGTGTGACTCATACTGTATGATCCCGAGTTAGTCATACATGTGTGACTCATACTGTATGATCCTGTGTTAGTCAAACATGTGTGTCTCAAACTGTATGATCCTGTGTTAGTCAAACATGTGTGACTCAAACTGTATGATCCTGTATTAGTTATACAATGCAATTTTAACATCTTTTCATTTTGCACCAGACTGATGATTTGTTTATTTCCTGCAGAGTTCAGGGTAAATATAAAGAATATTTTTATCACTAGTTCTATTTGCACTACCCAAGTGGACCATTTAGTGACTGTGATATTTTACACTAGTGTTGTTGTACCTGTATGACCTGTTGTGGTGATACCTGTCTGGTATTATGTAATCAGTATATTTGCCAACATTCACATCTATTAGATTCACTACCTTATCTGTGTAGATGTTTTTAGTAAACATTTGATATATCTTATTGCGTTATTTTTGCAGTGTCCTTTTATTTCCATACACCATCAGCTTTTAACACAAGGAGTTAAGCTGTGAAGAGACAGGAAATGTTTTGAATTTAAATATAATGCAGGAATATATTTTCAGGTTCTAGAACCTTATCCTCAATTTCTTTCAGCTGAATACTAAATACCCAGACCTCATCTCCTATAGTCTGTATTTGAAATATCACGTTTGCAATTGTCTCGTATTTAATCCACGTTAATTTCAATTTAAGTATAGTATTTTTCGTTAATCATTTTTTCCACAAATTTAGAATATATATATATAAGTGCCTGTTTCATGTCCGTCTCTATATATATCTTCATTTACCGTACTTTAAATCAGGTACGGCCAAAACGAGGGCACAGTTTGGTCAAAAACATACATATATTGTATGGATCCTGTTACACTGCATATTTCCTGGATTAAATCGCTGTTCATACATTATTTCAAAGGATTTCGTAAACATCCATATATAATTAAATTTCAACAAATATCTCAATCACATCCAAATGAGGCAGATGTAAATATCACCCCACCCTGAAGGCGCCGTCAACGTTTTACTACAAACTGGTGACATGGTCGTCCCATTTAAAGGACACCACAACCACGTTCCTAACAATATGTGGTACAGACCAGTTCTCGTATGTTCATACTTTCTTTAGCGCGTTTAACTGATATATTTTAAAGAAAACATTTGAAACTAATTTGCTGGAAAAGTACATAGACTAAACGAATGTCGATGAGAAAGAAATGCTTCGGAATATATAGTAAAGAAATCCAAGCAGGATCTTTTATCCGGAAATTTTCACTTTACATACTAAACACACTGACAATCCTCTTACCCCGGATTTTATATCCTGGAGTGAATATTTTTTTCTGTTTACTCTCCAGCTTACCTCCACGTGCCCACGTATATCAGCTGAATCATCTTCAAAAGCGTTTATATAGATGTGTGGTTTAACATACTTTTACAATGGTAAATAAAAACCTTAATTAATGAACTTCTGTTGTTTACTTCTAGTTACACATATTATCATTTTTTAACGATAAGAACTAACATAAAGATAAAAGTCATATACGAAGCCCCGGGTGTACATTAATGTTTACTCTGATTGAAGCCGCACCTTCGTGTAACAGGCTCACATCGTTACTTAAAAAATGTTTTTTTTTAAATATATATATCTATATATATATCAAGGCATGTATATATGTTACAAAGTTTTCAAACTCTTCACCCCTTCGACATGGGTCCGAGGATAATTGTATTCTGACGCAGGTTTTGAGGGTTCCCGTTAAAAATACGAGTGAAAAAACTATAGTTTTTTAAAAGTCAAGCCGCCTTGACACAAGCATTTAAAATTTGTTCGTCGTGTAAAGTGTTTTGTTAAAGAAAGTTAAACATTTTTTAGAGTATGTTTCTTTTAGATTGACTTCTGAAGAAGCCATAACGCTAAGGGAACACGTTGCTCTCTTCATTTTTCGACATTTATATGTCACTGCTAGCTACATTATACGAACCGAACACTAAATGTACATGACTACAAACACAGGACGTGATATCATCCATGTTTTCTAGTTCATTAATTAATTAATATATACAGGTTCAAAAGTAACTATATGTGGTTCTGTCCTCTTATTCTCACCAAAACGAATCACTTTGTCTCTGGGTACGGATATGTACAGTCATCATTGTCACGTTTTGTTTCAGTTTTGAAAAGAAAGGATGGTTTGGGAGGCGATCGGTGATGGAGAAGGTGATGCTTCTTCTCTTGTTCTGTCTAGTGGTGACGGTCATAGTTCTAGCAGTGGTACTAGCTGTCAATCAAGCCCAGGATGACGATAAACAAGGTATGTAGATAATGATACCTATATACAGGGTCATTTCTCGTTAGCGACATACCAACTTATTTTCTGCACGGATTCTGGTCAAAATCTATACACACGTGAATTTATAAAATGAAAATTTCTTGACCAAGTTAAGTTTCCATGTCGTTACGCTCAGCGTAAGTATCATCGTTACTATTTTTTAGAAACACGTTGTTAGCCCTGAATTGTAAAATGGATCATTAGTTTACCTGAACAAATAATAAGATTGTACAGAACAAGTGAACAGCAGGTTTCATATCAGTATATCTCTGAATAATAAGTAAGGTTGCGTAATACAATATTTCGTACTTCTGGCACTTCTCAGTGATGGGACTGAAATAGAAATATTTCTTGGACTGCGTGCATCCATAAATAGAGGGAAAAGACAATCCGCATCGCTAAGAGATGTAAATCTGTTGAATTTTCTCTACCATCTGTAATTCTATCGTACATGTGTCCGAACTCATAACTACACACGAGTATGAGACGATTGTGAATTAGACACCCTCCACCCCCCAAACGCACCCCCCACTCCACCCCACCCCGTAGCAATAGAAAAAAGATGATGACGTAAGAATTTTTTTAGTGACGCAATGGAGGTTGGTCATACTGAAACAGAATGTATCTATAGCGTTGAATCTTTTGCCGTAGAACACCTTATTTTTTCAAACTTCATTATGGAGTCAACATGTAATTGAATAATGACTTTTGGCTTTGGGCCCCCATTTTCCCACTTAAAGGTCGCAAATAGTTCTTGTTCATATCCGTGAATTATTTTGAAGGGATAAGATTCCTACATACACAAGTATAAGTTATGATAAACATGATGAAACATTTTAAATGTACACGATTATAAAATTATTTTAATATGACATGATGCTCATATCATAAAATATTTTAAAGATGGTAGATATTTTGAATTCTTTTGAAAGATGGAGGCTATCTCGGACTCGCAAAATAATAAAACATGATTTGGACTCAAGATCATTTCAATGGTTGACTTAAAATTCTACCAGTTTAATTTAGAAAAAGTTAAGAATTTTAAAAAAAGTTCTCATTTCTAAATAAGAAAATAATAGTATTATTTACTCTAGAGTGGTTAAATGAGATTTTGAATATAAACTGACTTACAATAACGACAGAAGCCAAACTAAGCTATATCTAAAGGTTTATTCGATACAAAACAAATATTTTTAAATTAACAAAAATGCTTCTTTATTTTCTGTACTCAGTACCAAGCTGTGTAAGTATTGTGATAAGTAATCTGCAGTATAATCCTACCTCGTCAAGAATATGACCCAAGTTCTGATTAATTATCTCCCCTTTTTATGGAACCGTATTTTCCCATTGGATCAATGTATTAACGTAATTAGTATTTCACATGAACGTATACTGCGTAACCAGTAGATATACAGTTATCTACATCGTGATATGTAATTAAAACACATATTTTAATGAGTTAAAGATTTATGATTTCACTCTCCTCGTTCACTCAGAGTCTCTAAGTAGCGCGGACAGCTAAGAAATGTTCGTTTTTTCAGACTAGTAATTCATCAAAATGATGAATCATGCAAATTTCCAAACGAAAATTACATATTGATAACTTGTTGAATATATTTTAAAGCTAGGATTAAATATAATCATTGTGTAATTCGGTTTTATCATATATATACTTATGTACATCGGAACATGGTTAAAATGACCAAAAATGACCACCTTTCAGTTTCAGTATAAGTTGTACACGATTCCACATCTGCCGAGTAATGAATAATTTTGAATTTAACAGTTCTTAATTTTCAATTCAATTCAATGTCCCTTGTTCTTTGCTAGTTACAGAGTAATATGAAGATAACTAACACAATACATTTTAATAAGAAACATTACATATACATAATTATAAGAATATACTTCGATCTTATTTGAATCCCCTGTCCCCAACTCTAATGACTGATTTGTTGATAACCAAGAAGGCTATACAAATGTCCTCCTATTTCGGCATCCAGTATATAAGTACTTAGTCTATAGCGCATGTGATAGGATTTCCCAACTTGCCGGTTTAGATAAAAACAGAAGTGATCTTCATTTTAAACCACATGATATTTTTACACAACCTTTTTATTGCCTGGTTATACTATTCAAGCGGCGCGTAGCCAGTTCCTAGATTGTGGCCACATATTCCAACTTTTATGAATAGTTTTCTTAAGCTGTAGTTTGTACATTTCAAGTTTCTAGTTTGAAAACCGTAAACGACTCTTATTATCACTATTTCTTGACAAGCACCCAATGAATATTTTTTTTTCAGATTTTATGTCTAGCTTTCTCGTTGGTCCTTAATCTTGCACTGCCACTTTTTGGGAATGACAGGCAACCGTCTTAGATTTTGACTATTAAAGTTTGTCATTGCTATTTCTGCAGAAGAACCGGATGAAATTTTCAGAGATTTAATCAGCAGTTTGCCCACTGTCCCTAGTTGTCCTCCATTGACTGATCAGAATATACAAGCGGTGATCCTGGGTCAGTGAAAGTGTGATATTGTTATTTATTTTTCATATTTCAAGCTCCCCTTTGGTCCCTAGTTGTTCTGTTTATTTTAGGACGGATCAGAAAAAATATCGACAGAAAAAAGTGACAATTATCTTTGATTTTACAGTTAAACTTGATTGTCACTTTTTCTTAAAAGGAATTTTCAAAATTCATAATCAAAAGCAAAAACAAAGTAAAGAAAGAAAAAAATGTCCGACAAATAAAGATCAAACAAACGGATGTTTTGTTGTTGTAATAATTACAGTAAACAAAGGCCATTAATAATTAGAGTAAACAAAGGCCATTAATAACTACTTAATTATTACAGTAAAAAAAGGCCATTAATAATTACAATACAGAAAGGTCATTAATAATTACATTAAAAAAATGCCATTAATAATTACAGTAAACAAAGGCCATTAATAATTACAGTAAACAAATGCCATTAATAATTACAGTAAACAAAGGCCATTAATAATTACAGTAAACAAAGGCCATTAATAATTACAGTAAACAAAGGCCATTAATAATTACAGTAAACAAAGGCCATATTTACTTTGTAGATAAGTAACCAAGTTCAGAAGGGCTTGATTTATAAATCTAGTTTCTGGACAAAGTATGATGTTTGTGAATTTTTATGGGAAATGTGGCGACAGACTTAAATTTCCGACATGAAGGGACAAGCAGAATCTATTTGCTCCGATTTCAATTTGACCAGCTCTTCCCGGGATTATAAACACGATTTGATACCTCATCTGAGTCGGATGAAGTAAGAGCTACAGGTTTTAACAACCACTCGTTGATAGCCATCTTCGAAGAACAGTTCACCGGGTTTAGACTTACTCAAGTTCGGGAAAATAAAAGGAATTATATAACGAGTATAGATGCTATCAGATTTTGCTACACCATTGAAAACATGCATCACAGAATCTGGCAACTTTTACGAATAATTAAGGGAAAGATGTTCGTCAGATTTAGGTTCACTAAAATGCCTCTCAATATATATTTACATCTTCATTAATAAAATAAAACCAAAGAATGATGATAATGATAAAAAAAAACCCAAAAAACAAAAACAAAACAAAACAAACAAACAAACAAACAAACAATAAAACAAACAAACAATAAAACAAAAGCCACAAGTGCTCTTTTGTTTCAGAGTATGAAATTTGCATATAGTCCAAACACTGAAGTATTTCACTACAGTATCGAACAGCTGCATTTCAACTCACAGGCAGTACTATGTGTTTAACACAAATTAGGCTTGTTGTCTTGATCTTCTGAAAGTTTGTCGGAGATGCGGAATATGACAGTATTTTAAAGAGGTGAAAGGCTATTGTTTTTATCAGTAAAATGATTTCAATCTATATCGTTTTATCTTTGATAATATCAATTGAAATACCGGATTATTAGGTACTAAGATCTATTAAGGTCGCGTCATACATCAATATTGTTTTATGACGCGCAAATGAAAATTGATATATCACATTGACAGGTATTGATAGAGAATACATCACTGTCCTTATCATTTTAATAAAATTGTTATATAACTAGAAATTGTTGGCGAACAATTCGACGGACTTTTCACTTGCAATAGGAAAGCAAACTAAAGTTGTTTGTCTAGTGCACTGGAATGTACTATAAAAGTGAATTCCAGTGCACTAGTGTGTGCTGTAGTGTCAAGTAGTTCATTAGATTGTGCACTCGAGTTAAACATTGCAGTGCACTCGAGTTCACTAGCTCATGCACTGGAGTAATACATTGTCATACACTCGAATTCATTATCTCATGCACTGGAGTTGACATTGTCATACACTCGAGTTCACTATCTCATACACTGGAGTTGACATTGTCATACACTCGAATTCATTATCTCATGCACTGGAGCTGACATTGTCATACACTCGAGTTCACTATCTCATGCACTGGAGTTGACATTGTCATACACTCGAGTTCACTATCTCATGCACTGGAGTAACACATTATCATACACTCGAGTTCACTATCTCATGCACTGGAGTTGACATTGTCATACACTCGAGTTCACTATCTCATGCACTGGAGTTGACATTGTCATACACTCGAGTTCACTATCTCATGCACTGGAGTAACACATTGTCATACACTCTAGTTCACTATCTCATGCACAGGAGTTGACATTGTAGTGCACGTGAGTTCACAAGCTTTTGTAATACAAGCAAAATTCAGAATAGATCTTGTACAAAACAGTACAGTGTATGTTATTACATGTTATTGTAGGTCTACGTATACAATGGGTTTCCCCCTGGACCTGCTTTATCTAAATACACTTTTTGTCAAAATAGTGATCTAATCCATCTGGGACACAGAAAACTGGGAGGTTCAGCTACATTTCATTTTAGCGCCAGTTACGTTTTGCACATAATTTTTTTTTTCATTTTCTTACTATTTTTTTCATATATGTTTTTAAGTTTGATGTA